CTATGGATGATAGTAAAGACAAACTAAAAAGTTGACAAATATATATATATATATATATATAGACACACACACACACACACACACACATATATATAATTCATATTCCTACCTAAAATAAAGATTGAAATTAGATATGCTAACGATCGGATATGAAGTTTGAATTGTATATCTACATTTTTAATTTCGATTTTTTTTTTTAAAATATTAATATATTGAAAATTGGAATAGCCCATATATATAATTGGTGAACCCATTTGATTTATATAGCTTGAAAATCATATTTCAAAATTTAAATAATTTTTAAAATGATTTTGGAAAAAAAAAATCTCATTTTTAATATTCTAATTTCAATGCCATTTATTGTTATATAATAGAAAATATACTTAATTTTATATGTCCCAACAACTATACTTTAATTAATATTTATATATGAAGTATAAATAATATATTGAAAAAATAGTGATTTTATTTCTTATTTACTTGACATCATACATAATTAAAAAATTAACCCAGTCAAATTTATACATATAAATATAAATTATATATATATATATATATATATACAAACACTAGGTAACGACTAGGTGTAGACAATAAATATAATTAATTAGAAAGGAAACAATGTGGCCAAAAAAAAAAAAACAAATTTATAACATTAAATTGAAGAAGAAGAAGAGCATGAAATAAATCAGCTGACTTTCCTTTTTTGTTTTTTGGTTTCCTGTTCTGATGTGAACCTGCCTGCATGATACTAATTAATTAGCCTTTAATTAAAAGCTATTGTCCAATCCTTAATTCAAACATTGCCAAATTCCAATTGTTTGACTTCTGTGAAAATTTCAAAATTCAATCGCTTATACTATTTGCAAATTGTATGTGTACATGTATATATATATATATATATATGTATAATAGCAAAAACTACTAACCCAATTCTTTTTTCCCAATTAGTATTTATTTCTATAACTTACATTTAGTTTGTATTTAAAATAAATTCAAGAATTTAGTAGGGTTTATATACAAATATACTCTTGTAAAATAATGAATTGTAAACAAGTGTTGGACAAAAATATTTGCAATTTAGATGGGTTAAGTCTAAGTTTCGATTAATCAGAATACGACTTAAGTTTTTATTTTATATATTCGACTCAACTTGAACAAGGTAAAGTAAAATTTATATTAGACTTGTCTTCTTCATTTGTTTAAAATATATAACAACGAATCGATATATTTCAAATTAAAAAATATAAATATAATAAAAAATATTAAAATATAAATTTACGAACTAAAAATATATTCGGGTTGGATCAGTTTGATATTGAATTACTATGTATTTAAACTCAAATCAAATTGAGAATCGAATTACCTCATTCAAAGTAGATGTAAATTTCACGGAAAGATGATTGACACCTGCTTATTTCTGAACATAATGAATCAATTTCAGTATGTTTACTGTGAGCATATAAAACCAAAATCCGATTAGAGTATCCAACAAATATGGTCGCACCTAAAGGTATTAAAATTGAAACATATATCTTATCAAGTGATTGTTTCCGAATCAATTTATGATAATTGCATTTGTTATTGCTTTTTACTCACTTTCAGTAGGTAGTCTTGTTATAGTACGTTGTTTCTTCGTTTCTTAGGAGAGAAAATTCGAGACAAACACTTATACGTTTCCGTTAGAAAAAAATTCAATGAAATGTCGCCTTGATCTTGACAACTATACATATATGGTTGATTAATACTTGTATCGATGAGAGAATGCATCTTTAAGATTGTCTATTACTTGTATGCATCGACACACAAAAATGGCATAAAATTTGTATATAAAAGATGGTAATGTTCTATAACAACTAAATTCTTTTAAGAAGGATAAGAAGACAACAAATGGAGAGGAATACAAGAAGAATTTCTCCAAACCCTAGAATGCAACTTCAAAATCTCCCTCGTCTTCTCCTTCATCTTCAAACTACCTTCCACCTGAAGCACCAAACAAAGCTTCGAAACTGCACCAACCAGCAACATCTCTTGAACAACCCTACCTGTTCCCGAAAACCTACAAATCGCCGATAGTATCCTCACAGCTCGATCACTCACCAAATGAGAAACCCTAAGAATCTTCTTCGACACCGCAGCCAGTCCCGCCCCATGCTTCAGAAACTCCGCTCGCCCATCTGCACACCCACAGAGCTGACAAAGAACCATCATAACCAGCTCACAACTTCTCTTCTCTGTTTCGTCAAGAAGAAGCTCGATCAACACATGCACCGCACCAGCTTCTACAGCTTTGATTCTGTTTCGTCCCCATGGACAAATCTCGATCATCAGCTTCAATGCCGCTTTTGATGCTTGTGCCGAGATTCGATCTTGAAGGACACGTACTATTTCAGTTAACAACTCGGGTCGGGTGGCGATCAACCGGGTCGGATCCGAAACCTCGGAAATGGATTTCAGTGACATTGTAGCGTAACCTCTTGATTGGTAACTCCCATTTTTCATCACTTGCAGAACCAACGAGTCCACGAACTCACCATCTTTAGCGAGAATGTCCTTTACAGAATTACTCTCAGTGAGTCTTAGATGGTGAAGAGCGCTCAGCGCCTCTTCTCTCTCAGTCGTATAAAGCTCAGAGCTTTTTATGACTGACGTCAAGAACTCGACAACAGCGCCGGAGGACTCGAGGAGAGTCTGGTTTCTTTGGGCGTCAACCGCGATGGATATTAACGTTTTGAGACACCTGGTGCGGAGATGAGGGAACTTTGTGGCGTCGGCGAGGAGTTTGGCGATTTGGGTTTTGTGAAGGAAAGGTTTGGGAGCTGGGATATTATTTCTAACGAAGTCGCCATGGGAGGAGTTGAGGGTAGACCAGGATTGGATCAAGCGGAGAAGGGTGTGGTTGGGTGTTAGGGTTTGGTCGAGTAGAGATTGTTTGGTTACCGGACAAGTTGCGTTGTTGAATTCGAAGAGCCATTTCTCTATGTTGTCTCTGTCGTAGGTTATCCCTGTCGTCACCGTCACTGGATCTCTCATCAGCTGAAGAGAAATCGGGCAGAGAAAATGCACAGGAACATCAATGTCGTCATTCTGATCCATTTTCTTTACAGCAAAAATAATCAGAGTCGACCGAGGAAATCAAGAATGGATTATTCTCTGATAGAATAACAGATCCTACACCTCTCTCTCTCTCTCTCTCTGTATACTGTTTGTATAATTTGTGTACGTGAGTTTATATCTATATATATATAGATATAGGAAAAAAAATGGTATGTGGGTATAGCAGTGGAGATCGGAGTGAGTTGAATTGAACTGGAAAAATGGGGTGGTGAGGAATATGCTTTATACCTTCAAGAAAATAAAATTTAACTCAAACTTTTTTATTTCTATCTAATTTTTTAAACGCCATTATAGTTGAAGTCAACACACTGGAAATTGAGAGAGAGAGAGAGAGAGAGAGAGAGAGAGGAAATGAGAGGTTGAATTTAATAAAAGAAAGGACTTACTTCCAAGATTTTGGAAGGAGAAATTAATTATTAATTTAATAATTTAATCATATATAATACATACATACATATATATATATATAAAAGTCATTATTTGAGTGAATGGTTAAAATATTACTTACGAGTTTGAATGGAATTGGGTTCCCATATATTTAAGGTTATTATATGTATACATACATACATATATATATATATATATATATATGAATGAACTTGGCAAAAGATAGAGAAAAGAAAGTCTTGTTGATTAATATATATGTATAGGGGCAATAAATGAGGTGAATGGAGGCATGCTTTGGGCCAAGCGACGTCGGTGTTGAGAAGCGAAACATGAATGTGCACCACACCCTCACTTCATTGCTTCTTCGAAGATTTTGACTTTATAATATATATGTATATATATATATATATACAAAACTTTGTCGTTAATCTTAATTTTCTTAAAATAAAATCAAACCCTTCATAAATTATGAAAGATTACTTGTGTTCATGCATTCAATTTCATTGGTTTATTATTATTTCTTTTTAAAACATAGTTTCTAGTTGTTTAAACATTCATTAAAAATCTTTATGGGAGGTGTTTTAGCATATTGTTAATTGATTATATAGAAGTAATTTTTTAGACCGCTTGTGAATTTGCTAAAATAAACCAATGATATTTGACACTAGTGGCAAAAGGACAATCCATTATTATCAATATTGTGATCCATACACCCTTTGAATATTAGAAAAAAAGTAGTTCAATGCCAATTAACTCTTCAATACTTTGGTAATGAATATTCACCACTTATTTAAAACAACGTTATGAAAGTTCTGTGGTCGCCCAACTTATTATTGTAAATGGAGAAGGTCAAGTTAAAGTAAGTCTTTTTGAATTCTTTATTCTTTATTGATTTAGACATTAAGGGTTTTACACGGAATAAATTCTACGGTCATTAACTAATTCTTTATACAAATTATTAAAAATGTGAGACAGAAACTCTATTTTCAACTAGTTAATCTCTTTATTGTAAATCAGTAGGAAACAAACGAGTCCCGATATAGTGACTACAAAAGGCTCGCATGCTGGTCAATGACAACGTTTACGAAATGCGAGAGGAAAATATTTACCGAATTAAGAAGAGCACGACAATTTTGGCATGATAGATGGAGAAAGAAATCAATATATTATGTATCTATAACACCGTCTAATGGACTTGAGGAGACTAGGGCAACTCCTCATAAAAAGCAATGTTAGAGAAGCTTTAAGTGTATAAGGTAATGCATTTCAACAAGGACAAGCACCTTGAAGAAGACGGTCATCCTTCCACACATACGTGTGAGAAGTAACATGTTACATTGTTGGAAAAACCAAAAGGGATAAATATGGGGCAGTAAAGAAAACCTAAATAGATGATAGCTCTAAATGAGATATGTGCTTATTGAGAGAGATGTAAAAACTTTTAAAAGAGACCATTAGTACTAAACCATATTCATTTAGAGGAGTTGATGGTCAACATTTTCATTAGATGAGCCTAAAAGAAGCACAGAAAAAGACAAATAATACTTCTAAAGGAGATACAAAGTCTATTAAAAAATGTATAAATATGCTAAATTATAATACATACTTACTTCAAGGAGTTTGAAGCCAAACTTGTAACACCCAACATTTGTTTTTATTTTTATTTATATTTTTTAAAATATAATTATTTATTTATTTAATTTATTTTAATTTAATGAAAAAGGGGTTAAAAACTTGATAAATGATTAAATTGAAAATAATTTTGAGAAAAATTGGTGAAAATTTAGGTTTTGGGGGTATTTTTGAAAGAAAAATCAGAAACCGGATGTCAAAACACAATTTAAAAAAATTGCACCACGTCAGATGCCCGGTCAGCAGCCCCGACCAACCAGGACGCACCAGGTGGCAGAGGCGCTGATGCGGGAGGCCACGCGGGAGGGAGCCACGTGGGTGATCCGTGTGCGCGCAATCGAACGGCTGATGTCTGTGTCCCGCGCGCACGGACGACCCAGATTGAAATCGCGCACGGACAGCTCAGATTGAATCGCGCACAAACGGCTCAGATTGAATTGCGATAAACGGTCCAGATTCACTCCCTATTTAATCGTGATCAAACGATCTAGATCAAAAGCGATGGACGGTCCAGATCAAAAGCGGATGGGTATAAATAACCCCATCCGCACCCAAACCCTAACCTTAGCCGCCAAAACCCCTCGCCGGAGAAGACAACCCAGCCGCCGGGGAGCCGATCGTTGCCACCCGCCGCCGCACCGGAACAATTTTCGACCGCCAAAAGAGATAAAAATTTTATCATTTGCTCAAAATTTAATTTTAAACACACTCATGACCAAATTGGAGCAAAATGACCAGCCGATTGGCCGAAAAATACTGGCAAAGTCTGGCGGTGCCGCCGTGGGGTATTTCGAAAAACGCCTCCAATGAGGCCTTTTCCGATTCCCGTTCGATGTAATTTTTCCACCATTGTGATCACCGTTTTCTTCTCTACAAGTTGACGAGAACAAAACACCCAACCGCAACGTGAGCTGGAGGAACCGTCGCTGGTGAGTTTCAGCTTTCTATGTTTTTTCAACTAACTAAGGGATCTAAGTGTGTTTTCTCGCAGGAACTGATGCAAATTTGGCTGAATTCGGCTGAAAATGGTCAAAAACAGCCAACCCGAGGCGGATCGCCACCGCCGTCGCTAGAGCACGGCAGAGCCGCTGTGCCGGATTTCTGAAATTCGCTGAGTAGGTCCTGAGACTGATTTTTGGGTTATTTGGGACATTTGTAGGTACCGTAAGAGCATTTCGATTCCCGAAGAAAAATTCAGGGAACCTAGAGATCGCCCGTAAGCGCAGTAAACTATTTAATTTTTCGGCGTCAAATCAAGTAAGGACCCATCACCCTATTTTCTATCATAAATTTGAAGTTTAAATAAATAATAATACGATCTTTTGTACAAATTAAATAGATGTGTATAATTAATTACGGATTGGTAATGGAGCCCGAATCAGATATTGTTCTCTGTTGATTTATTTTATAGTGTAAAAGCATGATGGTATCTGGTTTATATATTTTATAGTTTAAATGCATGTATTACTACTTTACTTGACCACTGCTTAATTTTGGAATTTAAGATATGATTGCATTACCGGATGCAAGTTCATTTGTTTATATAATTATGTTTGATTTGGTAACAGGGACTAAAGAAAAAGAAGAAAGCGGTGTGATCTAATAAACAGATAAGATGACAGCCTCACTAGATATTCTGGGAGATGGTGGACGGACCGGGTTCATAGGGAACCCTACCGTAAACGTTGTCTCATACCGGACATGGTATGGAGACTTGGTCATTTGGCGCTCATACCGGACGGAGTATGGGGACGGCTCTGTAATTAAGATTGTTAAGGGAAAGGGTTCACATGTAGCGAAGACACCCCTATGGATCCCCATAAATATTAATAGGCTAGTGAAACGAGAAACGGTTATGATTTAGTTATTGTTAATAAATATGAATTTATGATATGTTCTATGTTACTGATTGTGCATGAAGTTATGATCTGTGTGATATTATTGTCTCTATAGGTTGTTTTCATAAATTCCACAACAGTAAATGAACTGTAAATGATTTTACGATTGATAAACGAATTGCTAAATTTAGTGCTCCATTAGTTGTTTTGATTTTCTACAAACTTTTGCTTCTCTGCTGGTGTTATAGTGTGATATTCCTACTGGGCTAGTGTACCTCATCCCTTACCTAACCATTTCAGATCAAGAGGACCTGGTTCCAGATCCCGATCTACAGGAAAACTACGAGTAATGCTCGATACTTTCTATTTTTCCTTATCTTTCGTATTTCTCGTGTTTCTTTCAGATGATTCATTCCGTATATTTATTTAGTACTTTTAAATAA